TAGTGCGGGTTCGAATCCTAGGATATGCCTGAAAAAAAGGAGAATTGAAAAATTTATAACATCCTTTGCTTTTTTGCCGTCAGATACGGATAGTGCCAGGCGTGACACAAACAAACAAACAAACACACATGTACATCTATACGTACAGTGCTGGCAACTGAAATCCGACCTCCTGAGCGGTGCGCTCACATCGCAAAGAATGTCAACCCACCGCTCAGGGTGTCGGATTTCAGTTTCCAGCACTGTACATGGATAGCCATACAGAATAACAAAGGCAATCAAGGCTTGTTTGTCTCTACTTTAAAACGTTTCATGCTTTCGCAATCATAAGGCAACAAGAGGATGCCGGTATACATGTACTTCGAGTATGCCAGGAGAGGGTGGGTCTTGCGGCGCAGTACGAAAAGCTGTGTGTGAATGTAGGGGCTGTATAGCCATAGTGTCCAATATAGCCCATCAGTTTTAATGTTAGTTGGTGTACACAGTACAGCATGGAATGTACAATCAGGTATGTACTACCGTGCTGACGTGCATGCACATGTACACTGGCGGCATTTTAAATGCATTTGGCATAGTGCTGTGATGTGTGCTATTAAATTTCACGGTTCGCGTGAGACTCGGCTGGAAGCCGAGTTTTCCGCATCCGCCACGGGAACACCACCACCCTCTAGGATCAAAGGCGCAGATGTAGCGACTAAACGGTGGGAGGTGAGTAGGTCAGTCCCACCAGCAAGTGGTCAAAGACCGAAATCCCATTAGCTGCATCCGTGTTACCCTCGTGCCAGGCCACGAGTTCCCAATTAACTGTGGGTCGCAGCACGACTGGAAAATTCCTTCCGCTTTCAAGCAGGACTTGAACCTGGTACCCTCTGTTTCTCAATCATGGTCTTAGACCATCCCACTATGCCTGCCTGGAGTGTGCTATTGCAATGGCTTTAAACTCAACAATGCTAGGATTGAACTCGAACTTTTTGTCCTTCTCCATTCTATCCATAATGCTAGAAATACCCTTTGTTTTTTGGTCTCAGTACTTTACAGATGGTTGCAACCACCGGACACTCGGATACGCCTACAGCACTGTCGATGATCATACAGAGCTACAGTCTGGTCAGATAACCTCTATGCCGTTCCGTAAGCAGCACCCGGGGACTGTACTGCGACTTCTCTATTCGTGCAACATTCGCACACTGGGAGCGGACACTGCATCGCGATGGTACTTCAAGATTAATGGTCGTGAATGCACGTCGCCCAATGTGATAGACATGACAATGTACCAGTCGTCTGCGGACAACACACACGTCCCGGCAGTCCTGCAAGGAATATGCACGGCCACATCATCAGGTGATATCGGTGCCGGATCTCATACGATCTCAGTGCACGTTGGAAAGGTACGCCTCGAGGACATATCAAAGCCTAGTACTAATTGGGCTAGCACATCCCTTCTCGAGGTCCAAGAGATGTGCCCGCCTTTTGGACAATAAGTAAGCTGAAGCCTGTGTTTTTAGGCTTTGCCGCAGAATGAAAAGCATGCTCATGTGTCTCCCTACTACCCACCGCCAGCGCAGTATTAGTTCGGTTTTGCATTAGACAATGTTTCGTTACGTATCAATGCTTGCCGCACTCTGTATTTTGCATTCTTTCTTTTATTCTCACGATGGCACCATCGCCAATAAGATATGTTGTCATTGTTGTTGTTTGAAATATTTTATTCTCACGATGGTTTTTGTTATTGTTGTTTCATTTTTTTTTAAATCTTTATTCTCACGATAGCCAGTGGCCAATAAGAGATAATAGTGTGAGAGGGGAGAAAGAGTGAGGAAGAATTGGGTGGGCAGAGCTAGGGATTAATGACTACTTAAGTGTACGGGCGTTGTGCAACAGCAGGGATGTCTGGGATTTGAAGAGTGTACGAGAAGGGATTTCACGAAGCTGGGTGGGCAAGCAATTGAAGTAATGAAGGGCCTTGTACAGTACAGGAGAGAATGGAGACAGCGATCAGTCCGCGGAGTTGGCAAGTGCCAAATACGAGAGCGACGTAAATTATACGAAGATTGCACGCTGCTACCAGCGTGTAGCGAGACTATTATATGGTGGCGAGGAGAATGTGCGAAGAGTATTATGCTTTTAACTGTAAGGTAGCAGCCTGGTCGTAAATTTCATATGGCATTCAATTGACCGTAACTTTGGTGTCTTTCATAGGATTTGAGTGAAATTTTCACCACACACTCCTGCCACTATGCTGGCCCTCTGGACATGATTTAAAAGTTCAAAATTTTCAGAGGTTTTGCAGCTGTTCATGCTCTTTCAACTGATGTAGCATTCGATATTAATTTACAAATTCGATTTGTCAGGGATTTTACGACCAGGCTGCCCCTTTTAAAATCATGTCCAGAGGGCCAGCATAGTGGCAGGATTGTGTGGTGAAAATGTCACTCAAAGCCATTGAGAGACACCTAGCCATTGGCGGACTATGCTCGGCCTATCGTCAAATTATGCTTTTGATTATGCCACAATTATGCCAACAAATATGCTGAATTATGCTCGGTTCCACTATGTATTCACGCTGTACATAGAGGATTGAGAAACCACGCATACACACACAGCCATGCCCTAAGCATATTTTTTGTCTAAACCGAAAGGTTATGCCGACCTTACACGTTGGAATCCGTATATTATGCCGGAGCATAATTTTTTGACGAAATCCCAAGATTATGACAAATATTATGCCGGCATAATCCGCTACGGGCTATGACAAGGAGTCGTAACTGGGGTATTTAAGAAACAAACATCTGCAGGCTTTCTGACAAAGCTGTATTATGCCCCTAAGCATAATTTTTGCCTAAACCGAAAGATTACGCCGACCTTACACGTTGGAATCCGTATATTATGGCGGAGCATAATTTTTTGACGAAATCCCAACATTATGCCAAATATTATGCCGGCATAATCCGCCAAGGGCTAGAGACACCAAAGTTACGGTCAATCGAATGCAATATGAAATTTACGACCAGGCTGCTACCTTATAATTAAGGTAGCAGCCTACCCATAAATTTCATATGGCATTCAATTAGTAGTAGTAGTTGTAGTAGTATTTTTACTTGGGTATACCCAACAGGCCTATGGCCTTCTTACAGGGTGCCCAAGGAGAAATTGTGAGCAGCTAGCGCGAAAAGCAGGCAAAGAACGCTGGGATCGAATGATAGCGGGTAGTGAAATTGACCGTAAATTTGGTGTCTCTCAATGGATTTGAGTGAAATTTTGACCACACACTCCTGCTACTGTGCTGGCCCTCTGGACATGATTTAAAAGTTCTTGCGACTCACTGACAGGCTTTCCAGGGCGAAAAACTCAAATTTCCGGCATAGTGCCACGGTATGCGAGCCAACCAGGAGCCAAAAAAATGCATTTACAATTTTTTTTCACATTTTCCTGCCCATTCTGTCCGTGCTCGGGATCCAAACCTAAAATCCAGAAGCAGCCATGGGTGGTGGGATAGGGCCCTTCAACGTGTCCCTAGAATCTGTCACAGCGGCACGAGTGGGTGTTCTCTCACAGACTCCCACAGACCCAAGTCATTTTTTGAATTGTTTTAGGTTTAGGGTGTGCTACGAGGTCGTACCTTTGATACAACATCCACTGCTGGGACCTCCACAGCAAGCCATTTCCACAGCGCTGCACACCAAATCCAGGATACCCTCAAAAATCGGCAAAGGCTACCACTCACGTTCCACTACTGCCCAGTACTGAATCCTACCTGACTTCTTGACACGACTCAAGCTTGCCAAAGTCACTAACTCAACGTCAACTGCAAATAATCAAGCCACATGTCTGCAACGTCACGAGGGTGCTGGAAAAAGCCCTATACGTGGCTAAAAAACCTGATATTTTGGACTTTTTTGGACAAAATTCTGCACACTTGCGCGTGTTTCCATGATACGACAAGTTGCGCACGGTCTGCTCACATTCAAATACAGTGCTGCCAAAATATTTAATGACAGCGTGCAACAAACAAAAATCTTTCCTTGCAAGGGCACATTTTCGGCCATAACTCTTGAACGGCTGGTCAGATCGAGACAAAATTTTCAGAGATTTTGCAGCCATTCATGCTCTGTCAACTGCTGTAGAACCTTTTGCCTTGTTCGGGCAATGGTTGCCAGTCTACGTGGTCACCGTCGGAACCCGCCTCGACATCTGTCTGGTTCGGCTGTTCTGGCGGCTGCTGAATGTGCCCTGGTGCCATAAACGGTGTACATGATACAGTACAGTTTCTTTGGTAATGGTGTTTATTATTATATTATTAGACACAATCTCATAGCATGTGACAAGCATAGCTAATGCAGGAACAGAATCCCCTGAGACAAGGGCGTTGAGCGTTGTTTCATTTACTTTTGTATTTTCAGTTCGTTTTCTTTGTATTTAACTCCTCATTGTTTTTTTACAAGGCGTGGGCCATCCCCTGACTTCATAGGTGCCAAACATTTTGCGTTTTTCATTTATATTTTGAGAGTTTAATAAAAAATATTTTTCGTCGAAAAACCGAAAGATTCAACTGCTGTAGAACTCGATATGAATTTACAAATTCGATTTTTCAGGGATTTTACGACCAGTCTGCCCTCTCAAAGCCAATGGTTCCCTGCTACACTGAGTTTAAAGTAGAGTATGCAAATACCCAATGCTGTATGTGCATGTATGCATATACATGATTGTACAGTTTTGGTCAATGATATCCAGTCGCATCTCTCAAGTAAGTTTGCAGGCATTCATTTGCATAGTTACTATCATGCATATTGTGTTTGTGTGGTTCGCGTAATCGCTATGCCCACCCCAGTGTGGGTTCGGATGAACACTCTCTGTCTGTCACACTTGCAGTGGCGGAAGCGCGTTTCGAATAGAGATGTTGCATTTTGCTTGCAGTTGTTTTCAGGTTAGTTGCCCTTTCTTTGCTTTTTGCATTGTTGTTCTTGAACAAAACCATAAGTCAAGCACCGCAATCAATTCCCTAAATAACAGAGGCACAGCATCTTTCCAGGGAAGTTAGCTAGGAATGATACAATGTCATGTACTATTGAAAAAGTACGTATGTTGTAAGTGTTCACTAGTGCAGCCTACGCACAATTTTGTCGACATAAAAAAAGAGAACACTGTCCCATGCAAGTCACTGGCAGTGAAATGAACAACAAAATTAATGTACTACATGTGTGTATGGGGTGAGGGATGGGAATGTGGTCTGGGATCATTGGGACTATGGTGATGTTGAAGTGGGGATGGGGAAGGTAAGGTGGGGGGAATGGAGGAAGAGTGATGGATGTGATGGGGGATGGGCCAGAGAAGTACATGAAGATGAGTTGATAATAGGGTTTATTATAAGAATGCCTTTGATTGTGAAAGAAAAGCCACAAGAGAAGCCTAGAAATACTATTGACCAAATGGCGGGCACATCTCTTGCACCTCAAGAAGGTTTGTGGTTTGCCAGTTAGTAAAAGTGTCTCCCAGACTAAATTCGCGCCCCTTCCCGGTGTGAACTGAGATTGTATGAATTCCAGCACCGATAGTGCCTGATGACGTGGCCGTGCATATTCCTTGAAGGACTGCTGGGACGTGCGTGTTGTCCCCAGAATCCTGGTACATTGCCATATCTATCGCATTGGGTGACGTGCACTCACGACCATCAATCTTGAAGTACCATCGCGCTGCAGTGTTTGCTCCCCCTGTGCGAATATTACACGAATAGAGAAGTCGCAGCACAGTCTCCGGGTGCTGTTTACGGAAAGGTATAGCTTTAATTTGACCGGTCTCCTGATCGTTATTTTCGCTGTGACCGCTGCTGTAGGCGTATCCCAGGGTGCGATGGTTACATCCATCCGCGAAGTACTGAAACAACAAAATCAGGATAGCCCTAGCACTGTTAAATCTAGACGAAGGTAATAGCCCACATCAGAGAACTATGCCAAATACCGTAAAATGTGCATGTACCTCAGAGGGGAAGTGCCTAGGTAGTTGTGTGTCAGTTAAGCGGCACCCTGAGGCCCGGGCGCTGTTGGATTAATGAATACTCTCGATAACAGAAGCTAAAAAGCAACTTTGTGTTCGCACATCCCAAGAACTGTTGTGGGCGATTTTACCGCATTTTTTGGTCATGTGCCAAGCATAATGTTTTGCTGTGTGGTGTGTGTGTGCACTTCTGCTATTAAACCCGGCTAAAGAGAATTATTGCTAATAATCCTATTCCTTGGTGTTCGATATATCAGCTTCAGGCTAATTGTTAGTACGTGTATGTACTATAAACACCATCAGCTCGATCCTGATAATAATTATAACACCATCAGCCCGATCCTGATAATAATTATAACACCAACAGCCCGCACAGTGTGCACAGTGTGCACAGTGTGCGGGTATTGCATTATGAATTGGTTAAGTAGATAGTTCCGGAATTAATTCCGTGTTCGATATTGTTTATTTTTTACATATTTTTATTTTATTTTATTCGTGTTCGATATTGAATTTTAATTTTAATTTTTTTTTTTACATATATTGTTTTTATTCCATTTCACATTTTTCATTCGTGTTGGGTTTAACTACTCACTGTACTGATACATGGTGATGATTGTGCTTTGCTTTGCCCGTAAAAGAGGCCTTCCCAACAGCCCGATCCTGATAATAATTATAAGCTCGATCCTGATAATAATTATAACACCAACAGCCCAATCCTGATAATAATTATAACACCATCGGCTCAATCCTAATAATAATTATAACACCAACAGCCCAATCCTGATGATAATTATAACACACTCAGCCCGATCCTGATAATAATTATTAACACCATCAGCTCGATCCTAATACTTCCTTCGCGTCATCGAAATTGTCGCAGTTTGACTAGTGGCTTGTCACTTGTTACTGACAACTCTATAGCTAAGCCATTCAAAACTTATTACACAGCATGATAGTCTGAAGACTAGAGTAACGTTCCAGGACAGTTGGACTGAGAGTTTTCATGCAGAGATGAAGGCCTCGTCGTCCCTGATGTCAATGGATGCAAAAATATCGTTCCGAAATATTTCAAGGAAGGTTGAAAGTTGGTCGCGCCTCATCTCAAACGCTTTGACTTTCTCCACAGGACAAGAGCTGCTATGCTTGTCGTCTGCTAGCTCTGGATGATTTCTACTTCACCACCAACGAAACCTAGTAAGAATACACGATCTTTGCGAGGTCGGTTGATTACCGTCGGCGGAATCACCTCGATCTTGAAATGAACTTTTTTTTAGCCGTGGCATGTGCCCATTTATTTTAGCTGTGTGGTCACAGCTCATGCAGATAAGTGTACTATCACGTCCAGCGCACCCTCGTTTTCAGCATCACTGGTATACCATGGTACGGCACCTGCGCGTGCATCACTAGCACTATGTGTAGAGTCTACACAGCTCTTGCAGGTACAATCATGTACTGAGTGTCGCAGGCAGAGCGCCAAATAATTTTATGGCTGTTGCATCCATTTAGTGTGCTGACCCCTTGATGTTTCTCCAAGCGCTGCCACTTGTTCCACGAAGTCATTCTCACCCCAGCTAAGGTACAACAGTGATGAGGCTTGAGTGAATGGCCATAAGCACGAGAAATGTGCAGGCTGCAACGCCTGACTGATCTCAGCGAGTCGAAATTATCATCGCAGCTACATCAGCGAAGAGATTGCGTCAAGTTCAAAGATTCCAGCTTCCAATAACAGAAAATAGAACTTTGCCGTCACCCTATACTGATGACTATCGCCTATGTCCAATTCCTTGCCTCTGGTACGAGTGCTGGTGAGTAAATACCCCGGTTTATATCAAAAGTCAAACTGCGACAATTTCGATGACGCGGAGGAAGTTATAATTATAACACCAACAGCCCGATCCTGATAATAATTATAATACCATCAGCCCGATCCTGATAATATAACACCAACAGCCCTTATCAAGGCTAGCTTGCTCATTGATATTCTTATTTGCGTGAAAGGAAGCATATCTCTTACAACTTGGTCATAACCGTATTATATTTGCTTACTGGCTCACCTGCAATTTGCGATCAATAACACCTCGGTTGTGGTTCATGCCTGCCTGCACGCGCCCTAATTTCGATGTCACAGCCCGCAAATCAGTCACCTGTGCGCGCTGCAGAAGCATGGCATCATTTGCGGTGATGCGATGCTCCACATTCCCCATCCGTTCCTCGAGTGCGATGACATCAGCTTTGAGAGCACGCTGGTTCAAATACTGCCTGTTGTGCCTGGCTACTCCTTCCACGACGTCCAAACGGTTCTTAAGGCTTTGGACGGATTGGCTGTCTGCCTTGCGCGGGATCAAGCCTTCATGGGTGTTGACCTTGCTTTCGAGATTGTTCAATGCCACCTGGGTCAGACACAGGCAACAGCAATACGCTATAAGATAGGTCATGAGTGGAGTATCCCCATTAACACTGTACTTGTTTGGAAGGGGGCTGACGTAGCCCTTTCACAGCACCTTCGTTTCATGTGCAGTGAAGCAACTGTCATGTACAGGGCAATGTATACTGTGAAAGTTACCAAATATGTCCAATATTGACAGCAAACAGCCTGGGCAGCACTCATGTCCAAAGTTTACCCATGGGATTCAAACATGGGAAGATATATGCCAACTCTGCATTATTACGCAAACGTATGCAACCATGATCGAGACCTTTCAATACTGACACCACAGTTCTTCCAGGGTAGCTATGATATGATGGGATATATGCAGCAAACTGCATTACTCCAAGACCTGCATATCCGGGTAAAAAAATATAAAAAAATAAAAGGAAATTATCATGTCCGTTCCCGAAGGGAACTCACGACGGCCGTTAACACCCGGTAAACTCCGGGTAAGCCAGCAGTAAAACTAAAATGTTTTGTACTGCAGTAGCCTTGTTTATATTTTGACTCGTTGATCTACCTCTAACATGGCTCTTCACGTCCTTACCTGTAATTTGCGATCAATGACACCTCGGTTGTGACTCATACCAGCCTGTACAAGCCCCAATTCCAATCTCATGGCCTGCAAATCGGCAGCTAGCGCACGCTGCCTAACCATAGCACCATTAGCACTGCTGCGACGCTCCACAGTTACCATCCGTTGCCCAAGAGCTACGACCGAGGCAGCAGAAGCACGCTCATCTAAATTTTGTGCATTACGTCGCGCTGTTCCCTCCACGGTGGTCACGCGTTCTGCGAGGCTGTCAGCATTGCGAGTGATCAACTCTTCATGGGTGGTGACTGTACTTTCCAGATTGCTCAATGCCACCTGCATCAAACACAGGTAACAGAGATGTATAGTGTCTCAATGTCATTACTAGTATTCTTTGATTCCTTGGTGGCAAGATGCCATTAAAGGGGATTGATACATGTAATAGAACTGATACTAGCCAGAAACAGCTAGTTTAAATTTAACCTGGGGAGGCAATGAACATTGGATGATGAAAAACATAAGGGAAAATAGCCAGGATGATCAAGATACTTCGAGTGGTTCAGTACATGGTCAAGATTTCAGAATCAAGGACGGTGTGCTGAGTGGAAGCAGGTACTGCTCAAAAGAAGACTGGATGCATTGTGTCGGAATCCATCTCTACGACGTTGGGTTCTTATGTCGGAATGTAGCGAGTTGTAGAGGGTGAAGCACTGTTGATGGGGGGGGGGGGGATCTCAGTGCCTGTTTGTGTGTACGAGTCCGATTTAATAGTCCTCTGTCAATCGTATACAGTGAACCTTGCAAATATCAACCCTCTGAAGTGCATAAGCAGAGTGCTGGCAATCATGAGTTATCCGTCAAGATGAATGTAGGCAGTCAAAGGACCACTATTTCTGAACATTGCGTGGTACCGGAGGTTGTTATTCAAGAGGTTTAACTCTCGTTCATCCTTTAAATAAATGAGGGTACCTCAACCCGATCCTGCAAAATACGGTCCCCTTTGCTGCACATCACTTTAAAAAAAATTAAGATAAACTGAACCCACCAAAGGGTGAAAACAGTAAACCGTGTTTTGAAAATTCGGGTTGAGGTGCCATAGTAGTGTAATGTAAGTGGCTGCAATGGAGCCTGCGGAGTGCTTAGAAAAGAATATTCTTGAATTGGTCACAATAAAACTGTACATTTAATCATCCTGAACTCCAGCCTCTTTGGAACCGTGACGTCTCTCGAAGCCCGTAGGAAAGTCGTGTGTACAATGTATATGTGTGTATGTGTGTGTATATGTGTGTGTATATGTATATGTATAATAAATCATGTGTGTATGGTCTGTACATGTGTATGTGTGTGTACATGTGTATGTGTATACTTGTATGTGGATGTGGAGATCTCACCGTGCTGGCCTCTAACCCAGACTTCAGGCCCCTGATATCCGTCATCATCACCGCAACGTCACTGCTATCAGACTTTCGGTCCAGTTGAAGCCGGTTCTGAACTGTGTCCGACTCGACTATTTCCAAGCGGCGACGCAAACGTTCAATGTCCTGGACCTCTACTGTGCAGTTGCACATGGGAGTGGGTGTAGGAGCAGTAGTGTTGGAAATGGCTTGCTGTCTCAATTGTCGCAGTTCCTCCTGGAAGGCTGTCTGCGTTTGCACTGGGCATAGCATTAAAGCAGTAGAAAATGGAAAATAAATCTCTCAAGAAACTGCCAAATCATTGTAGTAAGCACAATGGGCTCTCCTGCTTGTAGAAAACAAATAGCAAATTGGACTAATCTGCTATCCATTTTCAATCGCCGTCGCTTGTTCTGACCCGATTGGTCTGTACCATTGTGTCGAGTCCTAATTCCGCCAGCTTATCTAATTTGTTCCCTGAAATTAGTTAATGAACAAGAGTAGCAACACCAGACAATATTCTCGTTGATAATGCATTTCGAAATAGTGGTAGCGACCTCGGCGGTAATTGTATGAGGAACTTGTTTCCTCCCAGTCTGGAGCTCGTGTTTTCCTGCCGACTGACTGGACACTTGACTAGGGTTAAGTCAGTGGGCGAGAACAGCACAAGCTACAAGGTAGGAACAAACCCGTCTACATTGTACCGTTGAGACACCGAATTCAAATAAATCAATAGCAAAAAATACCAAACCACTTCCTTATAATGCATCACCAGTACATGGGTGATGAACAGTCGCCTTTTACCCTGAACATGTGATGCATGCATAGATGGTCATGTCTAACCTGTGTCCTCCTTCAGCCTTCTGTTCTCCTCCCTCAGCTGGCCTGCTTCACTACGGAGTCGTGCCATCTCCGATACAAGACCGTTGACGGTTGCCTGCAAAGCGCGGAAGCTCCTGATGGGTGTGTTGTGATCTGTAGATCACAGAACATGTGTGAAAGTGAACAGAACACACATAACTATGTGAATGCAGTCATACGGATTTAAACAATGGTACATTTACACACACACGCACACACACACACACACACACACACACACACACACACACACACACACACACCATTGGACCAGTGGACGCCCATCGCCGGAGGCGATGATAGCGATGCTACGGCAGAAGCCGTAGCAGCTTGTGCTGGGATTGCACCATTCAACAGCTTGCAACGCTGAAGAATTGACCGCCACTATTCAGCCTGGTCTACACCACCGTGAATCCCTACTTTTCCCGCACGCACATCACACCACATACTCCGGCATGCACTGCCTGTTGGTAACCACCCAGGAGAATGAAAGAAAAGTCAGGAGAAGTCTGAGAAAGAGAAGAAAGACTTGTGTGACCACACACACATACACACATGCATGCATACACACAGACACAGACACACACATACACACGTACACATACACACACATAAACAACAACACACACACACACGGACACACACATACACACACACACATACACACCCAAACATACACGTGTAGCGTTGGCACGCTGGTGACTTCACAGCGTATAGTGTTTAGTGTATAGCATATAGCGTACATTTCGCATATCCCCGTACGTTAGCGTATCCCCGTACATTAGCGTACTGAGTCTGCCTGTGTATAAAAGCTGCGGCTCACGATTCTTTTTATATAGCCAGTAATTTCATTGCCAGTTAACCCTTTACCGGCATGTACATTTGGGATGAAATTCATGACATTGAGAAGGATGCCAATAACTCACAACGAGGGCATGTTTTGTATGTGCAAGTTATGTTTTCTTGGAAGTCTGGTACTACTTCTTGGCCATGGAAAAAAATGTTTTCACATACAACACATACGCTGCTAAATTGGCACCTATACGTCTAAACACGGAAATTGTACATGGTGCAAATCGTCAGATTCCGACATTGACATCATACTGCCAAAACAAGTCGACTTCGGAGCGGAAACGAATGCCATAGCCATCACAGACTTCAGTGGCCGTGCCTCGCTCGCAATTGAGATCAGCATCGCCCCAGAATCGCTATCCGTGCGCAAGTCGCGCTGCGCTGCCGTCACTCAGGTACGTAGAAAGTCGATGGCCTAAAATTTCGTCTTTGGGAGACTGTCGACACGGGGATCACTCTCCATGGCTTCCCCACCATAAGCACGATCAGATTCTTCCAGGTACATCACGACGATATCGTCTTCAGCGGCTGGAGCTCCCGATATTTGCGTGACAATTTAATTGGCGTGTGCTCCGCTCCGCAATTTGAAATTCGCTTGCATCGGCGGCTGGAACGAAGTATTTATCTATCTATTGTCGATCCCAGAGCGAAGGTCTGCTAGTTCCTCATCGGAGAAGTCATCTGAGGACGAAAGGAACTCACTGCGCAAGAGGAAATGCATCTGACGACGTTTTGACGGAGGCAGACGGCATTGTCGGCGCGCGTGTATTTCCGTAAGTTTTCGATCGCGCAGTTCTCAATGAAATCAAATGGGACACGCGTAGATCTCTTCAGCTACATATAGGATCGTACCTAGGCTGTGTGAGGGCCACGGGAAATCCCCATGGGCTGATCCTTCCTGTCATACCAGGCACGGTTTTAGTATCATGTCCAATGCGTCGTTCACGACGCATTGAAGTATGGGGCTGCCGGTAAAGGTTTAATTTCATTGTCAGTTAAAGTTACATTTCAGTTCAGTTCAATGTTTAATATATACCAGTGTGTTTACTGAGACCCTTGTGCATTTTTGCCTCCGAGAGGCTGCAGCCCGCTACACACGTACACACACCCAAACATACACATACACACACACACTGCACTGTACTGTACTTTCTCACTGCCATGACTGGTCATGTGGGTCTACCCAGGAGAGAAGACGGAGACTCAAAAGGAATCTTGGACAGATGACTAAATTGGCCATTGAACCGCCTAACAGCTGACACCCCCTGAAATCTCCAAACTCTGGGTGGACTTAGAAATAGTCCCAGTTACGAGCTCACCAAACCTTAGTAAGTAGATCAGGACAAAGTGCAGGGAAAGGATTGACGGCGTCAGGTTATCCGTCCCCGGATCCAACTGCGGGTACCCCTGTCCCTGGTGGGGAGTGATGCTAGCTACTAGTGTGGGTGGCTAAATCTTTTGATATAAGCTTCACTGGCACCATTTAGTACACAAGAGTTAATCTAGCCAGAAACAGTCCATGGCTAATAGTTATGTATACTTCAAATATAACCTAAAGTAAAACCTGATTTAAGCGACCATCCCACGGTGCAAGCAAAAGCGGTCGTTAAAGCCGGGTGGTCTTTGGAACCAGGTCCCGCGGTGTCTGTGTGGAGCTGTCGGTGCATGGGGAAATGGTCGTTAAGGGCAGGTTATTGCTAAACCCAGAGGTCGCTCACACCAGGTTTTACTGTACTCCAAAGTAGTGATAACACATACATCGTGTTGCACTGGATCCATCCAACACAGATTTGATAATAATTATTGATATGTACCATTTTTGCGACAATTCAGCACGGATCTTGTACTTCTGTAGAACAGATCAATTTTAGCAACGTAAAAACCCTTGCGAATTTAGCGATCGTCTCATTTTCGCTAAAGTTTCAAGTCGCTAATCCGTTGAGACATTAGTACGAGGTGATTCGTCATTATTTAACACGAAAGTAAAAAAGCCTTCCGTAGGGTTTGAGGTGCGAATCTTTCCATTTCTTCCTCCAAAAATGTAATACTGATGTCCTTATATTGCAATGGTGGGTTGTTCATGCATATAATCCTTGGTGTTGGGAAGCAGGGGGCAGTTGAAAAATGGCAATTTTTCTGCATATTATTTGTTGTGGTCATTTCTTAACATCATGGTAAAATAGGCCTTAGCAGCACAATTTCAAGTCAGTTTTCAATAGAAAGAGACCCTACGTATCCAGGATGGTCCAGCAAGACTGGATCAAGATCATGTTGATCCAAATACAAGCCATTCAAGCTTGCATAGCAGTAGGTGTATCACCCTGATTTTATATGCAATTGTGATCAACATCTGTTAGTAAATTCAGTAATTGCCAATGTTTGGCCATTACCAGGGCCAACACACCCCATTCCTCCTTCCCAGGCGTCGTTTTCAGTATGTATCTATCATATGCTTCCTTTTCAGCTAAATATATTGTCACTGGAGGTTGAAACCAGCGGCTATGACTCTCTTATACTCTATTTTACCGTAAACATCGCGCACATGCAGACTGAAAGCTCTTGCAATGTCACTTCCTGAAGGAATATCAGTCTCAATTTTGGAGGTGAACTTGACAGAACATTGACAATGGCAATGGCATAAAGAAATTTGAAGTGACTTTTTGCAGGTGCTGGCAATGAGATATTTTACCGATTTGTTAAGAAATGACACAATGTTAAAAAATTACGAATCACCTCGTAGTACACTGGCGATCGGTGAGTAAAATCGCTGCAAATCGCTAAATTAAACGTTGCTAACCAGTTGACAGGTTGAAAACGCTAAAAGCATCAGTCGCTGAAATTAACCGTTCTACAGTATAGGAATTTCACCTCGTTCATTTTTGCTAAATGGTCAGCCCATAGCAAACCTTAGCAGGTAGTTTAATATGGTAGTTGTCAAGGGTAGGATTTGTGATTAACAGCATACATGTAGATGCAAGCGCTCACCTTCTTCACAAAACTTCCCTGTGTAGTCTTGGTGACAGACGCACACATGAGTCCGTGCAGCGGCGTCCAGGCGACAGCTGCCTCCATTCTGACAAGCAGAGAAGTGCTGGCAACTCCCTGATTCACCGGCTATAAATATATGGATGCACAGAGCGATAGCACAGTATGCCCACCTACTGAATAATGTAATGTCGTCAAACTCTGAGTATTAACCTACAAGCAACATTAAAGCTCTTCCCACTAGAACATACAGTGTACGACAATGAACTCAGGAAAGGTGAAATCGTAAACTGCCTAATATTCGCGACGGATTAATTTTCGCTATTTTCGCGAGACGAGCGTAACGCGAATATTAACCATCGTGAAATCTAACTTCAACAGTGGGTGGATGTAAGTGACCCAGTGTTTCGCGAACTTTTGCCATCGCAAACTCGCTGGTTCTAAGAACTCGCGAAAATTTAGTGACGCGAATATTGGGCGGTTCACAGTACATGGAAAAGGCACAAAAACAAATGGTATACGTTGGCACTTATTTTCGCCAAAGATTGTGATCATTTCATGAACTAAATCTTTTTGTGTGGTGCTGAAGGAGGGAGTCTGATGTAAAGAAAAAAAAGCGGCGTGTTATTATCAGGGTGGATTATCTGAGCACCACTTGGAGCAGCCTCCGTTATGGCCCACACCATTAGTTAACTCTGCACTCTCCTGCTTTTTCCATTTTCAATTCATTGCTAGAGTTGGGTTTGAGCTACAACTTCTCATCTGCACAGCTAGTAGCTATTGACGCGATATTTCAAAATGTTGCGCATGACGCCCAATACCCCAGTATCCACACTCTTAGCTAACAAAGTTACATAAATCGCTGGCTGAAAAACACAAGGGTCCTTTCTCCTGAATCTTACTGGACTGAGACGAGAATGCAAACAGGGTCTAGGAGAACTCAATGCATCTGGATAGATGTGCCGGGATCAGCTAAAACATGTCATTGGGTTTTGTTTTTTTTAAGTTGAGAAATAACCGAATGAAAAAATGTTTTGTCTAGCACTTTTATGCTGCGCTTAATTCATGAACCGGTGGCGATCATCTTCTCAAATCTTGTTCCGACACTGGTTTGGCGGTCTAGTTCAAGTAGCTGGCGCGCAAAGACTGACAATGTTCGTATCTAGTGACACAGGAGCAGCTCGCAGGGCACAGACGATCGCTGTGCAGGGCGCAGGTTTGGTCAGGTGTCAGCAAGTCCGTGGCGGCAGGTCTGCAGAGCGACCCTGACAATTTTTTGGGGATATCGGTGATGTTGGCTTTAGACAACGAAGCTGAATGGCGCCCGTCATCCCCAGTTGCGAAGAGGCACAAGTTGTAAGCGAGTACATTAGGCGATGTGAGCCGCGCCAAGCTAAAAAGTGGCGTCGTGTTTTGCCAACAAATCGAGAAAATCAACAAAACGTCACAGTTGGCAAAATTCTACTCGAGCGCGATCGCGATAATAATTCACTTTCAAGTAATTAAATATTTAGTTTGCCAGCAGATGAAGAGAGAAGCCGGCGCCGTTTTATGTTTGAGCAACACTTCTTCAGTTTTCCCTCTTTCATCGTTGTGGGGATTCCTCAGCGCTGCCAGAGATCGTAATGGAGCTTCTAGAGAATGTGGAGGTGAGCAGAATGACATTCTGTATCCGTGTGCCCCCAAACCTACTTGACAAGGAAGAGTCGCTCATTCATAGTGGCTGTGTTTCTTATCGTGGCCACGACTAGAGCGGCGAATAGCTATGGGGAGACGTCTACGAGCCTTCTGACTATCATTCTGACAAGCGGCCTGGTGAGTTGGCTCTTCCTGCCATGTTTCACTTTGTTTTGGCTACCTTCAATTTAGTGTTCATGACGTGGCGTACTGGATTTCAAAATTTCCTCGATTCAAGGAAATAGTGCCACACGACGAAGCGATGCATTGACTCTACCTGCTAGCATATTGTCCCGTGGTGCCTTCTACCAGTATCCTTGGCAAGGAAGGAGAATGACATGGACTAGGACGGACAAAGAGCCAGTGCCGCTTGTTAGCGATGTGCAGTCTACTGGACCGATATGTAGGTGCGAGGGCAGTACACCAATGGAGCTAGATCTCTGGCACAGCACTACGAGCTACATGAAAGGACTAATTCATCCTGACATACAATGCAGGTGATTGGAGAGAGTATGATGGACTGTCTTGGTAAGATGCGACGTTCCCCAACCCAGCGAAAAATATAGTCACAACATCATGATGAAGGATATGAAAATTCGTATTGCATGATAAAATGACATGAGTCATGATGAAAATATGATGTATGTACATGTATGTGTATGTATGTATTTTATTATTTTACTTGGTAAGATGCGACGTTCCCCAACCCAGCGAAAAATATAGTCACAACATCATGATGAAGGATATGAAAATTCGTATTGCATGATAAAATGACATGAGTCATGATGAAAATATGATGTATGTATGTGTATGTATGAATATTATGATGATGATTAAATATCTGTTATTTCTTCTTTCTTGGATCTTCTGATTTGAACACAAGTGCTCATTCTTCTTGTATTGCTTGCACACCTGCTAAGCTTTGTCTCCACTTGGTGTCCCATGTTTTCTTGGAGTTTGGGAAGGTCTTGGAATAGTGTCATTGATACCAGCCATTCTGTGACATGTGCACACTGTATGCTTATTTATGGCACATATACATTTCAGATGGGCACCAAAATTTCCATGATGGAAGTTGGATATATAGACATCACTTTGGCATGAAAAAAGAAATTTCCAAAAATTATGCCTAAGCCACCTTTTAGCTTGGCTCGGCTCATGTACTGCCTTACTACATTACGTGCCGTTCAGCTCTCATGAGTCGCCTCACGCAGTCTCGGAAGCGCAGGTGACGATCAAAAGTATCACTGCCAGAATGTAAAGAGTGGGGAAATGCAACGCCGCCCAGAGCATCGTGGTGCTTTCCAGGAAGGACTTGCTCCATGACTTGGAACTGATGTTGTTGACATGCTCAAGTCCCTGTCATCATCTTTAGTTCCTTTGTATTGCTCCTCCACAAAAGCCACTAATGTGACTAAGTGTTTCTGTGTGTTAGACTGTGGGGAAATTGTCATTTTCTATTTCAAGGTGTTTGGGGCACTTCTAGACTACTTTGGTGCCCTGTACCAACTTCAAGAGGTCAAGTAAGGTTCCAAAAACTGTTTTCTGGAGGAAAACAAAATTTTGAAAATGTTCACTCTAAGACATGTTTTAGCTGGTTGTGGCCCATAATTATAGTGCACTGGTATGCTACTTTTGCCAATCAAACACGTCACAAGACTTACCCAAACATGTTTTGATGAGCCCAGCATCTTCCTCCGTCGCTCCCAGGAGCAGTTGGGTGATGTACAAATCGTTGCTGACAATCGCCTCCTGCTTGATCTGTTTCTGGCCCATTTTTGACGAGTAGCCGATCGCTTTCTGCTCGCTGACACCGGCTGCGACGAGTGTTTTCACCATACACGTTGCTGCACGGCCAGAAACAAAATACCAGGCAAACTATAGGTGAAAGACACAATGAATTTAAAACAAGCGCAGTGAAAGGTAGAGAAACCCAACTCGCCATGGTTGCCATCACCAAAGTTGTCACAGCGCACCCATCAATTCCGCTCGGTTTGCTGTGAAATGTCGCTTTCCTTGCATCGTACTTCCTCCGTTAACAAAAACGTCGTGATGGATTTTGATGGATATGAAAACGCTTAGAACAGGTCAAGAACAGTTTGTATCGACTGCAAATCACTGGACGAAGGTGATTCAGCCTATGTACAGCGTCTTTACAAGAGAAACTGTTGGCGGAATGAGCAGAGAGTTCAGTTTGCGTCGCTTTCGCTCGATTCATTTTTGACCTGCGTCGCTGTCGTCATCTGCTGCACGCGAGTCGTCATCTACTGTACGCAAGACGTCATCTCTCTGGAGTCGTTGTTCAGCTCGTTTCAGCCTTGCCTCGGCTTCTTTGATCACACTCCGCTGACCTTGATGTCTCCGTCGTTCAGGTAAGTTGGCTTTCAAGCTGCGTGATCCGCCGCGATGCCGATTACTCGTTCCACCCGGGAGTCGTGAAAAATACGACCCCCTGGTTTCATCTTCGCTCTCCAGAACTCCGCGAAACGAGGAGTAAAGGCACAGCCAAACTGATTCCATTTTCTCTAATGGATACCAGCACTGAACGCAGCGGCTAGCAAGTCCAGTCGACTTTCTTTAGCCACAAGACTCGCATCGGACTGCAGACTTCTGTAAGCTTGCATGGTCATCAGCATTCGAATCTGGACATTTGCGCAGGTTGAACAAGAACTTGAGTTCAGAATTATTTTCATTGAGCCGTGCGATCGGAGCAGCTCCTTGTTCACTCGCTCATTGTGTGGGCTCGCTGCTCCGTTTTATCGCTCTCTCTAGTCTATCACTCTCCAAGTTACTCAGCGCTAAAGTGGTAGAGAGGCCAAGCAGCGCAATATCCCCTCGGAAAAGTGGTATTTCAGTTTCGCTCGCCATGACTGTTATCACTTATGTTTCCACAGCGCAACCATCGATTCCGCTCGGCTTGTTGTGAAAGGTCGCTTTCCTTGCATCGTACCTCTGTCATGGCATGCCAGGGAAGGCCAAGAACGTGATTGCGACTCATTTCACGGCAGTTTGTGCCAAATCAGCCCCTCAAAATTCCATCACGAAGTTTTTGTTAACGGAGGAAGTATCTCTTTCGTGGCGGAGGAAGTGATCACGACTCATTTTACGGCAGTTTTGGCGCGAACCAATCCCTCCAAAGTCCATCACAAAATTTTGTTTGTTGTCGTCGCAAAGGTTTTTTTAGCGTACCTGAAATGAACATTATTCGGGGTTTTTAGGGGAGGGGGGGGGGTGCAAGCCAAAATCACAAGTCGACCGACACTGTACATATGTCATGTACATGCATGCGATTTTTTTGGCGTCCAGCACAGCAGGCTCTGTTTGATTCAGAGGGAGGGAGGGGAATCAAGTACGAAATGAGCGATGTTCGTTTCAGGGACGACGGAAACGTTTGCGACGACCCCTTTACGGACGAAGTACATTTCTTACAAAAACTTCAACTTTGGTGTAACAAATCTACAGCCGACACACCATCAAACAAACTGCTATCTTCTCCCAACACAAAGGCAAATCTTGCAACACCAAGTCCGTACAGAACACAAAGAAGAACAGATCGGAAGCTCTCATTCAGAGAATGCAAACATGCAGTTCCACTGTGGTCCATTGAAGACATATTAGTTGCTACGAAGATTATGAGATTACAACACCACTGGACTATGTTTTAAGGAGTGGCACCATCATGCAGCATTGCACGACTTTTGGGTTACTAGTCAATGTTAAGCTGCCTCAAGCGAATCCACTGACCCTCCACCCTGGTGTCGTTCACAAAACTCTTCTGTGTGTAAAATCAATGTCTGCGATGTCTGTGATGTTACTTCATAATTATGAAAATCCTCTATTGATCATAATTATGATCACAGATCAGATTGTAGGTAACGAAGAGCCACGTGTGTGGAGCCTGAATTTGCCTGCCGTACTGTGCTGTTCATGAAGGCACAGACCCTGTCCTAGAACAGGAAATATATGCACTTACACTCCAGAGCTGGTTGTCCAGTTGGCGAAGCTACAGTGATAGTAGATGCCGTACTACACATCACTAGTAAGAAGAGAAGAAAGCCCAGGACAGCTGTCGTGCAACTTTGGGCATGATACCCATGGCCTTCAGTGGCCCTCATTTTGCAATCTCCGGCGTATTGCGTTCTCTTCGCATACAAGAAGAACATAATCATAATACAATGAACATATACACATTCAATATAGAAGATTATAAGTCATAATGGTCGCGTTGCAGCCGTGGTTATCAGATTTAGAACGAATGTACCAGGCCCAACAACGAATCAAGTACTTCCCAGTGTGTAAAGTTACTCAGCTCTGTATCCTTGTTTGTTGTGCTTCTCTGTTTTCCTGCCAGACCAGAGGTTCATTTTTGTACACGCCCGTGCGATATGCATTACAGACGCATTTAGCACAAATACCCAAGATATCCTGTGGTGTTCGCAGTGCTCAGATTTCTGGCGTAGGGCATAGCGTAGTGTACACCGCACAACGTATTTGTTGGGAAACAAGGCCGCAATGTTGCAGAAACTCTTAGCTTTATGCTCAATCATTAGTGGACGTAGGGATCATTTTGCAATAGAGTTGCGACAATAGAACGTTGGTTCAATGTTGCGCTGTGTAAATGAAATAGTACCGCAATTGTCTACAGTCATGAAGGTTGTACATCCAAGTAGCAAAGTCATGATAATACCGTGTACATGTTCACGTAGAATACTCAGCCGGGTTCGACATCTAATCTAGTAAAGAACCATTCTGACAGCCTGCGCTGTTGACTAATGAGTTCGTTTTCGGAGACATTGAGAAATGTGTTTTTTTTTATTATAAGTCAATACCCTTTTGATCACAGCATTACGTCGATACGAAGCTACAAGACGACGCTCAGCTCACTCTGCACGTTCTCCTGCGGAACGTACGTGCAACAGCAGTTAGATACTTCAATTCTAGTTTTGTCTGAACATGCAGAGCACGGCAGAAGGAAGACTTCAGGACGAATGAAAGACTAACATCCACTCACCGGCTTTCAAACAGATAGGTGGTGAATCAGGATCATTGGGTGTTCGAAATAGCGTGATCCGCAGGTTTGCAGTTGAGATCGGTCAGTAACCGATTGTAAGGACTTGTATCCTGGATAAGCTGCGCACAAAACTTGGTGTACGAAGTAGGTACGCATAGGGGCAAGTTACCAAGTATGCTTTTCTGCAGAGGGAGAGCGCTGTTGCGCAAATCGTTGCCGTGGTCCGACTCTGAGAGGCACCTCCTCTCCATCTGTCCAGTGCAGTAGTGTCCCCCAGGCAGGCATCGCAGTAGCGTTTCACTGAGTCATCAGGCCAGGGGACTGACCCCGCTGGCAAGATGTCACCGGTGTGTGTGTCATAATCCTACTTTCCTCTATGAAGCCCTTACATTGTACTAAAGTCCGAACACACTGGTCATGTTTTGACAAGTCATCACACGTGACATTCGCCAGTACAAGTACATGGGGCGGCGGAGAATCTACTAGTCTGCCGTACAAATCGGTATCACATACATGTAGATACATACAGGCCGCGTCTTCCCTGAAGTCTGAACAGACTTGGCAGGAGCAGGGTTTACTCCTCTGTCACAATGTCAAGCCAAGCCAGCTTGGAGATCGAGAGCGCTCGCCACTGAGATATCTTCTGCCTTTGGTCGTGCTGCATTGTACATTGTATCTACGACTGACTACAGTAGTATCCTGCAGAGTCAGATACGCAGCTAAAGCAACAGTTAGTTGCTACATGCACTGTAGGCTGTACAGAATGATACAGTCGGTACACATGCTAGACCTACACTAAGGCTACAGGGAGTGAACTACATGTACATGATTGTACATGACTTTACATTACGTTGTCAGTGAGTAAGTAAACCTGTATGAACAGCAGTTTCCGATCAACTAGCAGTACACATGTACATGTACATACATGTACAATGTACATGTAGATACAATTTCAGAACGTTTCCCTATTTTTTTGTTGTTGTTTTTTTCGGGGGTAACGGCCTCTTTTACGGGCAAGATAAAGTCATGAAGACGTGAAAAAATAGAGATACCATGAATGGTAAAATAGAATTTATTCTAGTACAATACATTGGAAAACTCCAAAAATTCCACGTGAAACGGACGAAACTCAGTTCTTCATTTACTTCATGTACAATTTTGAATCTCACTAGCATGTGTGTTGTCAGCAAATACATGTACATTGTAGATGCTGCGAGTTGAATATGGGAGCGCTACGGCCGACGTCCTTCTAAAATGTATTACAATGAAAAAAGGCATTTCTCAACTTTACACACACACACACACTATGCGTGCTCATCTCCGTGCAGCGTTCAAGCCAACGAGTCGTGATAATCATAACTCTTGACACCATCTTTGAAGCCTGTCATTGCATTTCGGAGATCATCTCGCATTCCACGTGTGTGTATCGCAGCTCTTCGCCAAGGCAACAACAACATTTGCAATATTCGTCCTAGATCCTATTCGAGAAACCCAAGTCCTGGCTCGTAAAATGGAAACCTTCCACTCATCTCTGACTGGACGGTCGATGGTAGTATCTTGTCGGGTGTCAAGAACTGCTACATGTGCATTCCTGGTGCGTTCCGTGTTTCCTGCTTGCTGAGGACCTTGCAGGAACCATCTCAGTGCCTGGCACGCATGGTATCGGCCAGTGTGTAAATGAGGATTGCTCAACTACTTTGAAGTACAAGGGCACATTATGGCTGGCCAATCAAGCCAATCAGAAAGCCGCAGGCTTCACCGCTAAAATACAAATCTGAGCGTCCTTGGCCTTGACACCGCGCATACCTCCTGTATATCTGCGCACCGCACATGCCTTCTGGCCTAATTCAAAAATAATTGGGTTGGTGTCACATTGAAGCCGCCAACACTGGATACTTTCGTGACGCTCGCTACCATGCATTAATATGTTTTGATATACATGTACATGTATTTAGCTGCATCCATGTTACCCTCACTCCGAGTAGTGAGTACCCAGTTGACTAACTAAGGTTAGCCCCCTTGTCGGGCATTGGTTGTGAGACTTACCACCTCACCCTCGCCGTTAGGCGCTGCATCTGCCACCCTGATAGCACAGGCATGGCGGTGGCCTGGCACATGCGAAACTTCCTATTTAAAGCTGGTTGTGTTTCTCAACGCAATTGTATAGCCGGTGGTAACGTGGACGTGTAAACTTTACTCTTTACTATACATGTATTTTCACTGCTTGGCTTGGTGTTTATCTATCCCTAGGTCCCGTACGTGTAGGTGTAGGTGTAGGTGTAGGTGTACGTGTACGTGTACGTGAACGTGTAGGTGTACGTGTAGGTGTACGTGTATGTGTACGTGTAGGTGTACGTGTAGGTGTACGTGTACGTGTAAGTGTACGTGTACGTGTAGGTGTACGTGAAGGTGTAGGTGTACGTGAAGGTGTAGGTGTAGGTGTACGTGTAGGTGTACGTGAAGGTGTAGGTGTACGTGTAGGTGTAGGTGTAGGTGTACGTGTAGGTGTACGTGTAGGTGGCTAATCAAACACTAGTGTTTAAGCATCGGTAACGGTTCTAAAGACTTTGAAGTAGAAGTAGAAGTAGAAGTTGGTTGACTACAGTGCAACCTCACAATAGGGCAAGGCACATTGTTTTCTCTGCATACATGTAATACACGTGTCTCCTGACGCCATGGACACCGAATTGAATAACGGAGGGCAGATGACCCCGTACCAATTTTATAATGCATTCCCCATTGAGCAACAATTGGCTTTGGTGCACCTTTTCTTGACTGCACGACAGCGTGTAGATCAGTCCGTTGACTATCCAACATAAATAATGAATTCGACGCCCCTGATCAGCACTAGACGGGTGGTTGACCTTGTTGACTGTCGTAAACTGATTTTCCATGCTCCACGCGGGTGACGTAGCGCCGAGCGCACGAATAGCCACAAAAATGTAGTCTTTTTTCTCCAGCTACATGTAGATCTACATCGACATACTGGTATACAATCACGTTCTATACAGCACATTTTATACAGAGCACGTATATTTCACAACAGAACAACAACGACAATCAAGGCTTGTTCTGCTGCTACTTTAAGTTTCATGCTCACGCTATCATCAGGCGACATGTTGCCTGGTGATTGCGTGAGCATGAAACTTAAAGTAGCAGCAAACAAGCCTTGATTGTCCTTGTTGTTCTATTGTGTATTACGCTCTGCCTTTGTGGTGTTGAGCACTGTCAGCACTCTGGGTACATCATTCGGTGCACGTATATTATAACGATAACACCAACAATGATTTTACGCTATAAATACATGTAACGATGTTAATTTTCTGCCAAACCAAATCACTTCATTGATTGTTGTTTACAATACCTCACCTCTACATGTATACGAATAATTGCTATGCCAATAATTATTACCCCTATAGTGATACCGAAGGATGTACCCAGAGTGCTGACAGTGCTCAACACCACAAAGGCAGAGCGTAATACACACTGTATGTTGCCTGATGATAGCGTGGGCATGAAACTTAGAGTAGCAACAAACAAGCCTTGATTGTCCTTGTTGTTCTGTTGTGTATTACCCCTATAGTGAGATAAAATGGGCTGACAAATCGACGTTTTCCGTCAATTTTTATAACGATATCTAGTAGGAAATGTGATTGTAGAGTCCACTATCCGGGGAGTGCAAGCTTCACTTGATAATCGCTGGGACAGGCGAAAATTCAATGGGGGTATTGGGGGCACCAGTGCGCACCTTGCTGAGTAGTGTGTATAATATCTCTATATACGTACGTTTTTTAGATGCTATGAAGAGTGTAAGAATTGAACAAAATTCGTGTAGTATGAAGTGCAATGCACATGCACATGTACATGTACATGTATGCGTATCAAATAAACAAGTTACCCTTATAACAAAGATCACCTTTACAACAACATTACTTGGTCTGACGCAAAATTAATATCGTTATAAGGGTAGGTAGACTGTACAAGTACATATCCATGGTTTTCCCTGTGCCTGATGAGTTTCTGTCATTGATGGTGCTTCAAAATCAAGCCAAAGCTGGGTCACCTTTGTCCATCAGCTCTCTGATGGAGGGTACTGGCAAGCAGCACGACAATATTGTTAGCTAGTGGAGGCCAGGAGAGAAACACTGTACAGAGTTAACCCAAAGGCACTGTCATTCGCTGACACTTGAGTTAGTACATTTTCAGCTTTCAGCTTGCCCATGCTGCACAATCCATTTAAAAAATACATAAAATGGATTATGCAGCATTTTAGGCAAGCTGAAAGGTGGCCAATTGATGCGGAGTGTTTGGCCGTGTCTCTAATTCAGACAGGCGTGCCATATCGTCACGCTACCCCTCGAGAACAAGAGCGCTATTGTCTGACACATGGTAGATTGAAGCGCCCCTAGTCAATAGTCCCTTCTGGGATAATCGATTTACTATTATTCATCTTTAGCTTCACTAAAAGGCAAAATAAGAGTGAACAAAAGTCTTTTCTCTTATTCGGAGTTGCATGTAAGTTATAGCACTCATCAGGCGTTCCTTTTTGCGGTACGCTCTGCCCTAGCTTGGGAATAGAACGAGAATAGAGCACTATTTGCGGCGAGGACTCTAACCTTAGAATCGAGATTTAGTCTCCTTAGCTGACTTGATCTTGAACACCTTGCCCATCTTCGCCAAGGGTTCCTGGAAAAAGGAAGAGTGTGGTGGATAACTCTGCTTCACATTGCCATGTACACGACAACTACTTCATGTGTGTACATGTACATTTGTGAGTGTGTGGGCCCGCGCGTGTGTGCGTGTGTGTCTGTGTCTGTGAGATTCTTTTCAGTGTGCTTGTTGTCTCAATACCAAGAAACCCCATGTCGACTGAGGGCAACAAGAACACCAGCAACGCCATGATCAGATTATGCAACTTGGGAATATTTCGGCCTTTCATCACATAATTACATGTATATGCAGTATCTCCCGTGGTTGAAAAAGAATAGACTGCATACATTGGTTGATTTGTATTCTGTACGTTAAAGAGGCTGTTCAGTGATGAATTTTCTGTGCCCATTATGTAATGTACTTCAAAGTACAATCATGTACAAAATTTAATGTAGGCAATGAACAAAACTGCAAGGAAAAAATTGGAGGCGTATCCAATTTCGAAAGAAAAGGTTGTCAGCACCGAAGCAATCCACACAGTCAAGTAAGTCAATTTTGTAACCGAACGTTTTTTTCCTTCCCTTCTCACC